AAGAAATAGTTAATTTAAATAGTTTTTTTGATTAGGTGCGCTGCGAGAACTTAGCGCACCTTTTTTTGAAAGTCTGTTTTTTTGTATTTAGTGACCGGAATTATTGAAAATTGTTGCAAAGAGCTCTAGAACTTTTCAAGAGAGTATCAGAACTGCAAAAAAAATGTCACATTTTTGAATATGGTGTGCCAAGACTTGGTCAAAATTTAGTTTATTTTTTATTGTGCATACGTTAATGTAACCTTTGTTTTAGTAAAAAATGACTTAATATTGTTTTAAATGGGTTGATTAGGTGTGGTTGTTTTTTTAAACACATGTTTTGTGTTAAAATAGTAAATTTTGACACACATGATAGTTAAAAATAACTAAATATTATTTAACTCAAGAAATTGGTTTAAATTTGACCCTCCAATATTTAACAGTGCATGAGTCTCCTGAGTGTGAACGTGGGTCTTGCATGAAACATTACCTTTCACGCAAGAGTAGAATCCAGAACAATTCTCCGGATCTCTGAAGAGGCCGTTTTTCGAACACTTCTTCACAGGAGCGTTCTCGTAGTGCACTCCTAAAGCTTGCGCGGCCGCATTCAACATCGGCCATGGATTCCCGCAAATACCCTGCGGGATTCAATTTGTAAGCGACGCGAAAACTGCAGCATACATTGAAAGTTGTCCGTAATTACCTGAAAGTCATCTAAATCCAACGAGCACAAGGAAACTCCGCCGAGTCCTGTTGCGCGGACATACGCTGTTTTAATCTTCACCGAAATAGGATCCTCGTAGCCGATCCATTGGTCGCCGCGCTTCACGTATGGTCCTTCCTCGTCTCTGCCGGATATCCATAAGGTATCCTCCAATTTCTCGCATACCTAAACAGATTCTCACTTTATATCACCTTTTCTTAAAAAAAAAAAAAAAGAACTCTAGTTGCAAGGTGCTATTTTCTGTAATCTCTCATATTTCAAGCAAAAACTTTTACTGAAAAAATATTCCTCTTCTATAATGAAGTGGACTATTAATTCGAAATCTAGAGATTATCCTAATTTTTTTCTTTTTGAATCAAGAGAAATTTATATTACATTTTCATTTACATTAAATTTACATTATATTTTCATTTACATTAAATTTACATTTTCTTGAAGCAGAATGTCTTCTCACGCGCGATACCAAACGCGACAAGCAAGACTTGTACACTGAAAGAAAAATATAGTTGCCTTTGGCGTCAACTATACTCTTTTGTGATTTTAACCACAAAAATAATTAGAAAAACCATTGTTTTCGTAACTGTTATTAAAAAGATGATTCTTCTAATTATTTTTCTGATTAAAATCACAAAAAAGTATAGTTGACGCCGAAAGCAACTATATTTTTCTCTCAGTATACCATAGATAAAAGACAAAATTCCGTTGAAGTTGTATTTTTTTGAATGATCCATTCGCGAGTTTCACATGTGAGTTCACTTTCATTTTTGTGACATCTCACCTCGTAGTAGGCTATCCTGCCGTCTCTGTGCTTGGTGTATGTTCCTCCTTTGCCGGGTCCTATCGCGGGCGCTCCGGCATCGGTGAAGTTTCCGTACTTCAAGGTGTACCCTTGACCGAAAATCGGCAAGCCGAGAACGATCTTGGACGTTCGTCTCGTGCCGACTTGTTCGATCCATTTGTTCGTGTTACGCGCTACGAAGTTCAACGGAGCTGGATGAAGGGCGAATTTCTCCTTGCCCTGATCGATGATGTCTCGCCAGCTTCTCAGGAATATCAGATCGACGATGGACGCTATCTCCGGATCCACGGGGTCCGTTGGTCTCACTGCCACCGCCAAAGTGTATCCCTCTTCAGCCAGTGGCTTGCCAATTTTCTTCAGTAGAAGTTTGAAGCTCGGCCAGTACTCGGCGGAGCTTGGCCAATCGATCTCGACGCCATCAAAGCGATACTCCTCGAGAAAGTTGAGAATAGACAGAACCAGATCGTCGCAGTACATGCTGCAGTTTCGTCGTACGACCTCGGCAAAAAGTTGTCCCCGGTTGGGGGGCGCGATGGATATCAGTACGCGCAACCCTGGGTCCTTCGAACGAAGTCCTGTGGCGGCATTGTAGCCACCTGTGTGGCGAAAATAACGGGTGTTAATACCTTATCGATTTATCCAGTACACAAAGAAACATTACAAGTCGAAGGTACAAGTATTTTCAAGACAAAAATGCTTTTTCTTCTGTGTGTCTAATGAAATAGCTAGTAGCGTATCTGATAGCATCTTAAATGGTGATTTTCGATATGAACTGATACCTTTGATTCGGTCGTACTCCGGATCTCTGGGCACAACGACTAATCTCTGCGGATCTGCAAGCAATCGTCGGGTGTCAAACTGAGGAGTGGTGTTAAGTTATAGAGACAGATATGTAAATATGAAACCGGAATTTTTGTATAGAAAATACACGTTTATTGTAAGAAAATGATGAAAAATATTTTATTCGAAGTATTGCCCATCGCTAGCTATACATTTTTCCCACCTGTCTGACAATTTGTGGATGCCACGCCAAAAAAACTGTTGCTCTTTTGAGGCAAACCAGTCATCGAGCCATTTTCGTACATTTTCGTAAGAAGTGAAGCGCTGCTTAGCAAGTGCGTGTCCCATCGATGCAAATAAATAGTAATCGGATGGAGCCAAGTCTGGTGAGTAAGTCGCATGCGAAAGTATTTCCCAACTAAATGCCTCAATCGTTTCCTTGACCAGTTTTGCTGTGTGTGATGGTGCATTATCATGAAGCAAAATCACTTTGTGTTGCCTTTTTTTATATTCTGGTCGTTTTTCACGCAAAGCTTGATTCAAATCGATCATTTGTT